GTGACTGACCCATAAAAGAAAGAAATGGAAAACGATGACACCACGCTTCTTCAAACCTACGCGGCGACACGGCGACCACGACTCGCGCGCACATGACACGATAATGCTGATCCTCGGCTGCACAGTCGCTGCATATCCCCGCTGTATATCATAACGCGCTGGATAATGACAGGACATGGCCCCGGCAATATTGCCGGGACGAGCGTCGATTAGAAAGTCGATAGCCGCTGAGCCGAGTCGCGCGGATCTGTGAATGTGGCATAGTAATGTCAATGCGCCCAATAAGTACTACGGTACTACTACCACGATAATAGATAAATGATTTGCCTCGACGCTCTTGGCGCTGCAATTGAATGATTTATCATGCTTTTCCGTCCCGGGGGGGGGACTTATTCGCCTCCTATCCTCGATCTCTACTGGGTGCTCGGAATTATGCTGTAAGGCTGTCATCAGATTTGGTAGCATGCACAAACACACAAGTATCACGAATGTATCCGAGCCACCTCGCGACTTTTCGATCACCTCGTATAACACGCAACATTGTTGATCGACGCGCACGTGAGCGTTGCGCAAGGCGCAAGACCACGTCAATTTAATCAACCTTTAACAGCCGGCGGTTTGTATTATTTTCTGCTTTTTATTTACTTCTCTTTTTGTTGAAATCACCTGTTCTTATTGACCCGAGTGTCTTGCACTTGCGTGTACACACACACACACACACACACACACACACACACACACAGTGATTGTGCAATTTGTAACAAGTCAAGAGAGTTTCGTTATCGCCTTGTTCAGGTAGAACCCAGGTAATAAGGAGCGCGCGATACTGTATATCGACGTTAAGTAATATTAATATTGACCTTCTCTTTTAACACCGGCAGAGGCTTAGAGAACTTGCATCTTTGGAAGCATCTTGGAGAGCCGCTCGTAACGGGAACGCTTGAACGAAAGATTTTGAGAACGCGGCGAGGTTTCGAGTTACGTCAGAGAAGTGACTATTTCGCGTGATGCAAAGCGCGAGTGAAAATCGTGCTACGCGTTTGCCGTTAAGGCTCGGCACGGCGAAAACAAGACGGACAGAGACGGACGTATTTTCTCGCGGTACATAACGGTATCGCGCGGAGTGAAGGATCGCCGGATCCCGGACGTACCGAACGTCGCTCGAAAGATAAAGCAACACGTAAAAGCAACTCGTTCGCGTGTGTGCACGAAATTCCCCTTTCCTTCTCGCCGACGAAAGTCGAGACATTAGGCGAAAGGATACCCGTGCGACTTTCAAAGCAGAGAAACAAAAGGAAAAGGTTGGTGGGAATTTATGAGAAATAAATCACGCAAACACCTCGACGATAAGTAAGCCTACTTTACGTGTTCGCGCGTCGGAGATCTCAATGCCTAACAGAGCGTTAGCTCCGTTGAAGTCGGAGACTTTAACGCTGAATAATATAATACGTGCGGCGTCCGGCATGATCTCACGGTAAACTTGTTCTCTGCTGCGAGGAGATCTGCGTATCGTCATTCGACGATTTTCCCTACTTCGCCAAACTCCGACTCACGCACGAAGATATTCTCCTCAGGCAGAGGCCACACAGGCTGACCTGGAAGATTCGATCATCGACTGAAGATTTTCCAACGGGATATCGGCCCCTACTGTTGCAGTAATTGGGTTGGGGATAGCGAGAAGCACCACCGATCGATGCAATATGATATGTTACGACTCAGGCGAGCGCAACCTGTCTTTTATCACTCACGTTCCACTAACCCACTGCACTTCGGCCTCCTCGGTTACATGTTATGCGCGCTATTTAGCATTGTAAGGATGCATCGATTGCCGCTTCTTCGTCGTCGGCTCTCTCCCATCGTGGAATTCTCTCGCGGTAACGTCGTAATGAAGCCGTCAATTGTCGAAATTGACGGCTGTCGTTTTGGCAAATTTTAGCGACAGCGACAGAATTTTGCACGTGAGCAGAAATCTATTTCGCGATCTCATCGACGCGGCCAAGCGTCTCAGCATTTCATCAAACGCGTGTGTCTTTATCGCCACAGATTGCATCTCATAATCATCAATTGAAAGCGGATAATTCGCTAATTATATCACATCACTGATCATGCGGCGCTTGCTGACTCGAGTTAATTCCGCGCTGCTGTTACCATGTGAAATGTACAATGCAATTACCGTTACGCGACGTTAATTCACACGCACAACGTGCATCGATGTTGATTTTCCGCTTTAGAACAGACGCGCCAACATTATCCTGGTATGGATAATAATGGAAAGATCTTACGTAGTGTCTGAAATGTGACTCTGAATGCTCTTCCGGAAACAATGCGTGTAAAACTGCAATGTATTCAAAGTGGCGAACTTCACCCATTCTAACGCTCAGCAGCCGGTTTTGATTAAGCAACGATTACGTTAATTTGCAACCATGTAATCACTGCGCTCGCCGGAAGGCGAGGATTCAATTAGCAGCACACAGTATAGACACGCTTCGATCAAAAACTGTAATTGCATTGGAATGATGCTTCTAACAGAGCAGTTCCTCTGTTATTATTACCGCCTGCCATGGCTGCTTTTATTTCACGCCACGCAGCCATTTCTGACCACGAGGCATAAAATAAGGAAAAAAAAAATATTCGCGATATGCAAATAAACGCATTATCTGTATTTCTCATCTTATTTGCCTCGAGGATGATGCAAGTAGTGTTAAAAATAAATATGATAACAAAAATAGCAAAAATAAAAACGGGTGTTGAAAGTGTTAATTAAAAGGTGATATACTACCGTACGTTTAATCTAAACAAATATAATTGAAACCAAGTTGAGAATTAATTAAGAAAAAAGAAACGATTAATCACATTTTTTATGAGAGAAAAAAAAAACGTAAAGTTACTAAAAAATCTGACGACCTGCCCATGAACTTTTTATAAAAAAAGAGAAAAATAAATATTTTTGTAGATAAAACAAGCGGTAAGAATAAACCTAACCAGAGAGATCGCGTGTGTGTCGCCGTGTCGTTTCGAAATGTCTAGCGAATGTATTCAGCTCTTAATCTGGTCACGTAGTCGAAGTGGGTCTAAGTGGTCATACAGGATGCCTCGTACTTTACGCGTTTCCCTTCAACCAGAAGCCTTTTAGTGCAAATTTAAAGATATTTGCTTGGTGAAAATCCGCTAGAGGTGGAAGGAGGGGAGGAGGGCTTATCTCAAAAAGGCGCATAAACTGTCGCTCTCAAAGCGAGATTCCGAGTGATTTTACGATGGACGAAACGGTCGTTCTCTCTTTAACGCCACTCAAACAGAATTTTCTCTCTCATTCGCCTGAGGTTTTATCAGTGTGAAAAGTCTCTCAGAGTCTCGACTATAAAGGCTCTCGTTACGCAAGTCGTCACGGTTCATAATAATCTCAAACACAACCGACAAATTAATTAACACGCAGGAAATGCGACGCGTCAGTCGCATTTCCAAGGTGTGAAACAAAAAAAGAGAAGATGTTTATACGATTTAAGCGTCAGGCGATGACCCGACGCGAAGCGCACGACACGTCGTGTGTGACACATGACGGACAATTAATTAGCAATAATAGCTAATTGGATTTATTTCACTGCTTGCCAAGATAACGAGAAGATATTTCGACCGACACACAACAAACGTCGCGACTAGTCGACCTTGCGCGTTATGCACGCTACTTATGCACGCTCTTTGAACGTGAGAGAGTAATGATTCGATATAGTAACTCTCGCTTTGATATATTTAATGACGGCAAACGACAGTCACTAGTGCGCAAGGTGCTTGGCGTTATTTCGCGATCGCTGCACGGCAAAGGAGAAAAAAGACGTTCGTCGGATCTAATCGTCTATTGGCGATTAGATAACGCACTCACGAATCGTGTGTTTCACTGTTCATTTTGCTCGACTGAATTCCGAACAGAAATCTAGAATCGATACTTTTTCTTCCGTTGTGTCCTTGATATTCAACATGAACGACTAAAAACTCGCGGAAGTTAACTAACCCAAGAACAAAGCCGCCGCGCCGGCGCGGGACGCAAAATGCAGTAATTTCAAAATATTTAATTTGCAAAACATTTAACTTGCATATCTTCACATCTGGTATTTAATCGCTACGCCTGCTCCGTGACCAAATGTCCTTGACGCACGATCGATTTCACCAATAACAAATTATTTACTCGTGATATAACTTTAATTATTAGCCTTCTACAGTTGTAACACACGAGTTAGGGATTTGTTTCGTGAATAAATCAACTTGTCAGTGAAACCAAACACTGCAGTACGTGGCTGTCGGCGTAAAATGCATTCTAAATGGTTGATGAATTATCGCGCATATCATCGGAGAAAAGTGAAGTATCAATGACTTAATCAGCATGAATAAGTCCAAATATATTCAACGTGCTACCGACTCAAGAATCTCAACGAGCCTCTCTCTTCGCGACGTTCTTCATGCAGATGAACCTTTTCGCCGTCATTCTCGATCATTCGGTGGCCAATGATGATTTCGCGTATTTGACCGATGCGTTATTTAACGGAATATCGCACCGGTACCTCAGATCGATGGACGATAAATCGAGCAGTTGCAGGTCTGCTCGAGTAATGATCAATTAAGGAAGATGTCGAGCGAACAATAACGATTCGCTACTCGTGCTACAATCTTGTTCCGGTCTGATTGCCGGTGCGAGTCTCTGCGAGCGCTTAACAATGAGTTATCTCAGTCGCGGTTAAAAACTGCGACGGTGTGAGCGAATTTATAGCGAAATAAACGGATTACCTTGCCAATAACTGACGGTTAATTGACGTCGTAATGAATTCGTCTCGAATGATTCAGACGACCGCAAAATAAAAAAAAAAAAAAGAAAAGAAAAAAGAGGTCGGTACGAGGCTTTCCCTTGTCCTATTTGCGCTATTTTGTTTTTCACGTGTAAAACTCCGTTTTCGGTATCACGCATATCGAAGCAGCTTTGCTTAGCGTTAAATCAACCGCATTGAACTCACCGTGTCTGAGCTTTCCTTTCCTGGAGATCAGCAAGGAAAGAGGCTTCGGTACCTTCTCGGTGCAAATGTCCTCGGCCTGATCAGTCTGTACGCCGAAAAGGGCGTTTCTGCCGACCTTCATGTACTGCCGGCCCATCGCCTTCGGGGAGCCAGTCCCGAACAAGGACGTGATGAACTTCATCTTCGATGTCGGTTGCGATTCACGTCGTGAAGGAGAATGATACTATCTCGAACTCGTGTCGGCTTGACGGGCAACGACACTGTCGTATTGACTCGGCTTACACCGCAATCGAGACAGATGTATAGTTTTTCGATTCAATTCGAATAAATCGCAGTTACTTTTTGCTCGGTCCAGCCTTCGTCTCTGCCGTTCCTTTTTCTTCCTTTTTTACGTGCTTATTGCGTGCAACGAAGTCAAACTTGACGTTTTCTGCCGACGACTAACGCGCGTGCTTTGCGAAGAACTTCTTTATAATAATCCTATAGAGCGAGAGAGAGAGAGAGAGAGAGAGAGTAAGCTGGCTGTCGATAGTCCTCAAGCGGTCGATGCGCGATTAACCAACGAAAACGTCAACAAGCTCACTCGAATAAAAGCGGATTAGATAATCGGCTTGGGAGGCGCCTAATTAATTGCTCCACGCTCCGATTGCCGGTCAAGAATGCGTCGGTCCAAGATATGTGTGCGTCTATAAAGGATCATCGTTATCATCTGGCATCATCGCGCCGGGCAATGTCTTCGTAACGAGCGCGCGTCTGCACCGTCATTATTGTCTTCGTTATCATCGGCTTATTGCCTCATTACCATCATCCTACCCGCCGTCGTCGTCGTAGTCGTTGTCGTTGTAATGCCAATAACGCGGTTTCGACAGGTGCTGTGCCTCACTACGTTCCCCGAGTTCGTATTACGCACTGCACTTTCACACCTGGTCCAGGTAAGACGCGTTGCTCCGGCTTCACTTTCACTCGTGGTCCCGCCGCTGGTCCTTCATCCTTGGCTTTTGCCTGAAACGCGAAACCAAATTGAGATCAAAAAGGGAAGGAGGGGACGGAAAAAGAAACCGGCCGCTCGCAATCGGGTCAATCGCGGCGGTATGTGCGCGATGAAGAGCAGACCGGCGCATCGCGCGCGGCGCCATGCCGCAATATACGCAGCCGACTTTTGTTATTGGCATGCGTTACGTAAATGCAAAGTGAGCATTTATGCGAAAAATCTTTTTGTAGCGACGCGGCGAAGTATCGATCAATATATGAAGTCATTCTCGTCGGTCGCGAGAAAATCGCCAAATCGCGCCCATCTTACCGCCCGGTCGCATTCACTTTCTCACGGGCAAAATAATCCAATCCAATGTTAAACGTCACCTTCATCCCTCCCGCCTGCATCTTCCCCCTCTCTCCTGCTGAAAAATCGTTAGAGGAGTGCGAGAGGCAGAGAGAGAGAGAGAGAGAGAGAGAGAGAGAGAAATCGTTTCCGACCGTGGACACATACTTCGTGTTTTTTAAACTTCGCCTCGAGTGTTTTATATGAGCATACATTTCAGTCAGGATTTTGCGGCGATATCGATAAACTTGCTAACTCGCGTTATAATCTGAAGTATAATCTTTGTAGTTGCACGCGACAGGTGACTTTGTTGTGTCGATATATCCGATAAGAAAATGGCGCATATTCAGCTGTCACACCGAACAACTGATCGTCGCGTGAAAGAGGAATTACGTTGCCCGGGGACTTACCACTGCAAAAGAAAAGATCGACACCGACCACATCATAAGCCCGTCGAAAACGACGAGCAGCCCCGTGGGAATAACGCGTGCAAATAAGTACATTGTTAATTAACATATGTGCTGAGCAAAGTAGATATTATTACGAACGTCCCGGTTCTACGAATAGGCAGAAAAACTGCCTCAAGACTTAATTATAGAGTGGCGAGACGTTTAAGATCCAACTGACGCGTCACGTTTACGTTTACGTTACGTATCGTTATTTCTCCGAATGATGCTGTGCTATTATATTCATATCGTAAAGCAAAATGGATTCTGCAACAAAATATACCGCTCTACAATCTCTACGATCTCTGCAATCGTGTAATCGTGCTAGTTGACCCGTCACGAGATATAAATGCAGCGTTGCATTAAATGATATCCGTCGAAACAACTGATCAATCGATTATACCACTGACGCACGTAGCGTCTATATTTTGCATTTATTGTGTATTAAATATTCTGTAACTCTAACGTTTTAAACCACCTTTTCCATAAATTGTCCGCAACGTGTTACTGGAAAAAATTATCGCCGCACGTATGTGTACGCAATATGTTACTTTAGTAATTACACACGAGCAGATCGAGATTGATGTAATTACGTCGATGTTGCAAAAGAAAAATAACAAGTCAAGTCTTTTTCTAGCTCTGTGTTTCTGTATATAATCTTGCAAAAGCATTAAAATATAGATTATTCTATGTGATGCCATTTCCACATTTTGCTGTATCGCGAGTCATTCAACTTCGATAAGTTATTCATCGTACAATCGCGTATCATGGATATCGTCTCGTGGTCTCCGTGGACCGAGACCGATGTGTTTCACGAGAGCGAAATTTATTATGAGACGTAATAAATAAGCGAGCGTCCTCACCTTTTTGTATGACACAAGATCGTTAATACATAATCTGAGACGTTATAAAAACGCAAAAGATCGAGGACGACCGGGTGTAGAGATACGAAAATAATCGCGATGTGCTCATTATTATCTTTTTGCGCACCCAGTTTGGGAAGCACCGGTGGGTTAGGAAGAACGAGTTAGTCAGCAATAAATGGAAAAAGGATGGGAATAAGGCGTATTCGTCTTGTCTGGCAACATTCCAGTCGCAAATACTAAGATTCAAGATAAAAGAATAAACAAGGTAAAACAAGATAAAATGTAGCTCCGATTTGTGTAGGAATAATCCGAAGAAGAAAGTCCGATATCCTTCAGTATATGTATGGACGTCCTACTGTCATGTTCATTGAGAACTAGCCACACTTTGTCGTTCTCATTTGTTCTTTTATTCATTACTTAGTTGAGATTCTTTTAGAAGAGAGAAAGGAAAAGTAACATTTTTTTATGGATTCTCCTTGTTGCTGTTCATATTGAATAAACACATAGTTGCAAAATTCCATGTAAATGTTAAAATATCTATTTATAGTAAAAAGACCGCGCATAAACGCCCAACACATACTCACACGTTCATGAATTATTGTAGATTCGACACTTTGACTTCCAAATTATTATTCGAGCTCCTCTATTTTTCATCGCGACGCATAAGGATGCAAAGATATATCTTCGTATATGGATATGAGAATATATGGCGAGATAAGAAAAAATATCTTCTAGCTACTAATCACACTATCTTTTAATATCAAATGGGCGTGTGCGTGCACTTTCTCCCTCGTAGATGTTATAAATTATTCGACAAGTTTCAAGTCGATTTTTTCTTTCCACAAATATTCGGTCAAACGCCAACCCGACTTCGCGAATGTTTGCCTTTCAGTTGCCGCTTGCTTCGAGCACGTCGAGCGTAAGGAAAGAGAAAAAGGAAAAAATTGTATGCACTAAACGCTTAAAGAGAAAAGTACGCGGAGAAGCAAACGGACTCGTCTGAAATCGCACGTGACGCAATTTGCGAGAATTCATTAGCACTTTCGTCTTGAATTCCTTTTCGAGGAGTGAATCTTATAGTAAATATAATGACGCATGTTTAGCTGTCGTCATAAATAAGAGGTTGCAGCGGCAAATCCTCCGCGAACGGCGGTTTCTCAAAATGCATAGTCGAACGATAAACTTGACATTGAAAGACTGATAAACTTAACTAATACAACTTGACATTAACTCCTTAGTTACGGCTGACTTTTAGCGAATTCGGCATACATGCTGCTGATTCTGTTCCAGTGCTGCCTCTACATGATGTGCAGGAGCAGAACCGTCTCCGTGTAATACTAGACAGATATGACTAATCTTGGTGCAGCATTAAGTTAGTGCGTCACTGAGAGAAAGTACATTTGTCTAATGTCGAATACAAAGAGACACATGCAAGTTAATAGAAGTAGGTTAAATAAGAGGAAACAACATTATAAAAATACTTATCACATATGTGATATATCATATGTGATACTTCTCTCTATCTGAATATTCACTCACGATATCGATGTAATTTTGAATTTTTTCTTTTAATAAAATTATATTTTCCACATCTTCCCCCCTTGCTACTGCTGTTACTTTCTAATAATTAATTTATAATAACATACTTTCTCTTTCTAGCGTCATATTTTCTAATTTACCGCTTGACTTTTTTTTACTGCGACCACATCCACTGTCAAAAAGATCAGTGCAATGTAAGTTGCTCTGATTCAGTGCGTTTTATTCGTTCGAATATGAATTCTGCGCTACATTAAGGCAATTTTCATTCGTCGTATAAACTTGAACTAAGGCAGAAGGCACACAACTCTCTCTCTCTCTCTCTCTCTCTCTCTCTCTCTCTCTCTCTCTCTCTCTCTCTCGAATGCGTGGTACCGAAAAAACCCTCGTATGAACTCGCACCGAATTCGCTATTTGTTAATTACGTCGAATTTATTCATTTATTGTTGAGACATTATCGTATGTCATACTGGCTAATGAATCAATAAAATTTGTTTTACACATGTTCGCGAAATATCGAGAAAAACCAAACAAGCTAACTTGTGACAACGACAAGCTGTCTCGAAGTAAGTTTTAAAAGAGGGCCACTCTATAGTAACGTTTCGTTCTGATCGTTTAGCAAAAAACCAGATTATTGCGTCATCCCAATCTAAAAGATCATTTAGTACGATTAAAATAGCGCGTAGTATATATCGGAATGAACTAAAAAAATGTTATCGTTCCTCGTCGGTCATAACACGGGGAATTTTCCGCGAGTCAGTGTCGGAATTATCACGTTGTTTACCGAGAGTAGCAATCACAAGAGTGATTGCTGTTTTACATTATGAGAGACTAAGGGACTCGTTGAATTAAGGTAGAGTTGCGTAAATCGTTTCAAGGTCTCTAGAGATAGTTAATGGCCTTCGCTATTAATGCGATTGCGCTGGAGCGTTTCGGCGTACTCACATAAACCCGCTGTCTTTCTCCTTCTTTCTCCTGAATACGTGTACGCATTTTGCACGCACACATGCACATG